CGTAGCTCCTCGTCCCGCATGACCTCTCCCAGCACATTACAAACAGGAGAAGTGAAAATCAAAAAAAATAGGTTTAAAGACCCTCTATAATATGATGGTTCTTCAGCCTAGTATTACTGACAAGGTCCTCCCACTTTTATTGATTGATGTTCGATCCTCTGAAAAAGATTTTATAATTTCTCCTCTTTCTCAAACTTCACCAAGCCACCACCCCAAAGCTTCTTCTTCTTCTTCTCATGGATTAACTATTTCAGAAATGAGTAATATTTTGTCGTCCCAAATTGAGAGCGAAATACCACGACCAAAGCATGCTTCATCCTCCTCTGAACAGCTTCATAACAGTTATGTAAATTTGTCCATCCCATCTGACTCTTCAGATGTAAATAATAATGCAGGTTTCCTTCCCACCACATCAACCACAACTCGCCCAAGAACGTTAAGTAATTCATCTGCAGTGCCCATGTTAAATTTGCATTCCATGCACGGCGTTAATAGTCACAGCCAAGAGAGTTTAGCAAGCCCGAAAACTCTTCATCAATTAAGCCCTAGATCTTCCTCTCTAGGACTTTCTCAACACATCCAATGGTCAATTCATTTTTATTTACCAGATTACATTATTGAACATATTCCTGTGGATGAAGTGAACAAAGACAACGTGTTGAGTATTATTCACATGATAGAATCAACCAATACATGTATCGATAAGGAACTATACAGAACAAGATTTGCATGGAGAAAAATGTCGAATGTTGTAGTTATTGGAGGCTCTGCAAGAGACGAAACGCGTGTCAAATGGCTATTGCGAGTTTTACAATTAGAAGGAAAATCGTACAATCTGTATACATTACACAGCCCTTTAAATTATGGCCACTTTGAGGCAAAATATCCATTTTCAATTACCTCATTCGATTTTGTAGAGTTTTTGTTACCAAGTCACATTTATAAGAATATTTATTTATCCGGTTATAGAGTAATTTCACAAGAGCGAGCAATCGAAGTTTTATTGCCAAGGAGAATTGTCATTAGAAACATTTTAAACTGTGCAAAAGAGTGCAAGTGTGTCATTCCTGATAAGCTCATTTGCAACCCCAATGACCCGTTAGAAAAATCACCACAAAAGTTTTCATATTTACATATTAGACTAGATGATCATGATCCTGTGTTTTGTTATTTTACAGCTGAGCAAATGAAAGAGAGCGTCATGTTCATCAATAGAGCAGTTAAAAACAATGAGAATATTTTAGTTCATTGTCAAGAAGGCAGAAGTCGCTCCGTGACAGTGATTACACTATTTCTCATGATATGTGTTGGATGGAGAGTTAATCATACACTCGATTTTATCAAAACTCACAGACCAAACATGAGTGTACATTCTACCTATGTGAGGCAATTACGAGCCATTGAAGAATACTTATTGGACAAGATTGAGAAAATCAAATACGACAACAGTGATGAATCCATTTTTGATATTGAGGGAATTGTAAAAGTCGAAAGTGGACAACACATTAGTGAAAGTGACAGTGAGCAACCGACATTACCGACTGGTCCAACCTTGAAATCACAAAGTTCCATGAGTTCAATGCTTGAATATTCTTCCACCGATGATTCGACAAATCCAAATCATTCCAATCTTTCATCTCCTGGAGGAGGAAATCGAAAATCCAGTCGAAAACTGTGTGAAAAGTTGAATGTGACTCTCCTTTACGCTCGATTGAGTAAATCCACCTCCACTCCACAACAGCAACAGGATTCTCCCACCACAGTCATGGAGTCTCCAGAATTTTGCTCCGATGAAGAACTCCTCGAACAATTACTCGATGAAATTGGAGAGAATGTTGTGAATCCATTCATTAAGGATTTATTAGAGACATCTTCGACTGTCGTCACAACCAGCGCTACCACCATCTCTCCTTCAAAGAATTCATCACAGCAATAATAACACTTACAATAGGATCACTCCATCCTCTTTGAATTGCTCTATTTCCAGTTGTTGATTCCATCATCATCTTCACAACAAACAATTCAAGTCACATGACTCCAACTGGAAATTCAGTAATTGAGTGCATTCACCCAAGTCTGTTCATCTCCTCTTTTATCGAATGTCATAATCAGTCACCATCATCAACCCAACAACAACAACCACCAAACTTGAAAAAATGACGTTTTCCTCCTTCTCCTCAACAAGAAGAAGAGGAGGATGCTTGTTCTTCCTTTCATCGTCATCTTCATCATCATCCTCTCTCCCAAAAACAATCCCCTACCGATTAAGATCGTCCTCGTCAATGTCCTCCTCCATCATCATCGCCATGTCCAATTATTATTTATTTTGTGTTCTTGTATTCATGAGTCTCCTTGTCATTCTCTCCAACCACTCGAATTTTGTAGAATCACTCACCTTTTCCAAACGCTTTCTTGGAAATAACTGCACCACACAGACCTACCTCCGTGATTGTGGTGAAGAATTAATTTGCGATCCTCTCATCGGAAAATGTACTTTTTGTACCAATACGACTCAATGTTCGAATATATTTGGATCAATGAATCAATGTAGAAGATCAATTTTTGGAAATGATTTTGCAAGTTATCAGAATAGTTTTGTCACACCACAAGGTTCCACGGTTCAAGCAGGTATTTGCTATCACAAGGATTTATTTCCAAGATTTTCCTATTTGGATGCCATTTCGACAGTTTTTTCCTTTTTGGGAGTGTGTTGGCTTCGGTGGCAGGAATTGGAGGTGGTGGTGTGATTGTACCATTGTTGGAAGCAGCAGGTCAATTTCCACCTCAGTTGGCTGTTCCAATTTCGAAAACAATGATTTTTGGTGCTGGTAAGTTTTTTTTGTCAAACTATAATAATTGTGATGGTTGTGATTATTATGGTGGGAAATTTGTTGAATTTCTATCTTTGTGAATTCCTTCTGGAAATTCAAAATGGAAAATACTGAAATATTATTATTATGAAAAAAAACATGAATGACCTGATTGTGAATCATTACCCTTTTTGTATGGTCACACCACACA